CATGTTTTACTTAACAACATAAACATGTCAACTGAACATTAATGCCAAACAACACAAGTGTATTTCAGCCATGAATCGCATCACCTCTTGCAACGGGAAGTTGAGTAGCATACAGATAATCTTTGCACCGGCCAATGTATACTTTGCATCATCCCCTGCCATTCCCACAGGGATATGTTTCTTCTGCTGTGTGGCCGGATGCTCAACCTGCCCGAACTGTTCCCAATGGTCCCAGTACTCCTTCACAGCTTTCTCCTTCCATGTAACTTTGCCACTGTCCTTATGTAAGGATGGGCCAAAGACCATAGCCCAAGGCACACCAGATTGGCTGAGTAGAGGTCTGGGAGTTTGCTGAATATTATAATATAGTAATAGTAAATGTTTAACATGGTTTAAAGTTGTTGGGGGACTACGTGTATATACGTAACTCAAGTATGAGCAGTTGTTGACAATGAGATTATATTGAAGGAATCCAGGGACAATTCTGGATGCTGGATGGAGCTCTACATATAATATTATATATATATATATCATATATATATATCATATATATATATTATATATATATTATATATATATAGATTTGTATATTCATTCATATATTGTATATATCATGATTTTCTCACCAAGCATCGACCAAATAGTTGAGCAGTTCATGGGGTAGCGCCATAGGAACCGGCATTGTGGTTCTGGCATTTTTGTCATCGGAGCTGACATCCTTGATGGGAATCTCCACGAAGTACATCGCCTGAGTTTGCAACACATGTTGCTCATGGGGCAAGCATACACCAGTGGTCAGTGTGGACCAAAGGACAAGCTGATGGCGAAAGACTACTGCGATAATGCGAGCGTCATTTGGAAGAGGCATGGCCAACACAAGAGGAAAGCCAAGGACTTTCTGCAGGAGCTCAGCAAAACCAAAGGCTTGCATGAACACTGCTGCCTAGTGACGATTGGAAGATCCAATGCAGTCATCAGATCCCGTTCAGCATTCGCTGGGAACTTGCCGCTCGTTCCAATCTTTGCTATTTTCTTCGTAATCTCAGAGCAATTGCCATGGCTTTCCTCAGATAGGGAATCAAAGCATGCTAGTGCAGATACAGGCCCAGATCAGACATCACTCACTCGTTTGACTTGAGTCAACATTAATTTATTTAATATCAACATGTTCCAAGGCCGGATCAGCATATATATTTTGATATCAAATACTGTGAACAGTATTGGGCACCGAATGATATTAGCTCAGGGGATCATTGGATATATGTATCAATATTTTTTTGCAATGGACAAATAGGAACATAACTTGCACTGCTGGGTTTAGGCAAGGTTAGTCACCGTTGTTTCAGCTTAAACATGTGGCCACCTAGCCCCTACCTACCCACCAAATTGCTGATTGCATCACTCCAATTTCCCCCCAGCAACCTACCAAGTATCTTTCACAACTGCCAGCGCTGCTTCCTGGAGGCCAGCGGCAGAAGATGCCTCGAGAAAGTGGAAAGACAGCCAAGGCAGTAACACTGCTATGGTTCGGGGGGTTGGGTGTTTGGGCTGGAGATAGTCTTCTCAAGATAAGTAGTAAGTACCTAAACCATCAAGATATGTTTTCTTTGGGTGAGTTGGATATGCTGCTAAGCAGTTTTCATAAGTCAGCTCCAAGTCACTCCACGGCCCAATGAAGATAGAAGGTTCTCAGCAAAGCTGGTATCTGCGAATGGGAACAGCTACATTAAATGCATATGTGAGGTGCAAAGATGATGCTAAGTGTTGGCTTCTGATTTGACCAAGGCTCAGCTCTGTTGCAAATACTGTTAACTTTTTTTTCACCAAAGCTCGCTCGCATCGTGTTGCCCTAAGTGATCCGTCTCCACACCACATCAATGTAGCATACATTGATGTTCTCCCATGTCCCGGGTCTGCGTGAAGAACTCAAGCATGTTTGTTCAAGATTGTTTAAATTGTATTGATTGATTGATGTCAGTGATGAAAATGATTAAACTAGTCCCGCATACCCAGGTTGTTCCTACAGACGGAACATCACATTGCAACATCCAAGCAGGCCATGTGATATCTATATTGATGTATCCAACTCAAAATGCCAGGTGTTCAGCTGGCCAAAGAAGCTCTCTACTCCGAAGGCTTCGGCGTGCTTTTTGCCTTGGCCTTACCCTTTGCCTTTGGCAAAAGGCTTTTGACACTTCCAGCAGCTGTCTTGTAGCTACCGATCGTTGCCACAAGTGATTCCATTGTAGGACGCAGCGACTCACCAGCTGTTCCAGAAGCCATAGCAGCCTTTCAAAGTACGATTAGTGTTATTCAACTGCCATGAGTTGGAGGGGGGCATGTTTGTATATTATATATATATATATATTTTTTTTACTAATATTTATATAATTATATATATATATTTCTTTTTACTCACTTGCGCATGACATGTTGCACCTCCAGTTCGCCACGTTTGGACTCCAGCTTCGCGAGATGCTGGTCCATATCCAAGACTGCAGCTTGCTTCATGCCCTCCGGCCTAGGCAGAAAAAAGTAACATGGAGGATTGCAGAAAGCTGATTCAACATTGGTGAGCTGCTGGGATCCTCAGAATCGGACACATTATTTTTGGTGAGCACCTGGTTCCAACCTTGGATGCATTTGCCCAAACGTTAACATAAACATACATGTGACATGACAGCCATAACCTTTCTCTGGCCAAGCAACTCTTTGCTTCCAAGATCAGTGCAGATGCAGTTTGCATAGCCTTGGTTGACCAAAGATGTCAAAGTCAGACTGGTTTGTTCAATTGGGCTAGTCAAACATTGTGAGCCATTGGGATGATTAGTCAAACATCCTCCCGACCCAATTTTCACCAAGAAACAGCCTTAGCTTCTTGCTCCACTGTCTTTGCCTTTGGAGGTCTCTTCTCTTTCTTCTCCTTTGGTTCCTTTTCTTTCGCCGGCAAAGAACCCGGAGGTTTCTCAGACGAAGGTCCAGACTGTCCAGGCACCCCACCAGCATCGAAAAGTGTAGGGGCTTGGAATGGCTGTGGCATCAGGTTCAGTGGCTTGGACCTGTGAAGTTCAGGCAAAACAAGACAATATATACCTGATGTCTGAAATACAAATATTATCATATATATTGAGACAGGGCAAGGTATAGGGATAGAGATATATTATTATATACAAATAAATATAAAAAAATACATTTATATATATATATATATATAGAAATATCGATGGTCGGTGAATATTTACCAATGCAGTTTGATAAAACAATCTATATGTATATTTAAATACAAACACAACAGATTCATATGTGTATATATAGACTTGTATAAAGATAAATATATTGATAGATATAAATTAAGACAGCTATATAGATAGATCAAGATGGATGGATGGAAAGATAGATAGATCGATGTGTAGGAAGGCACCTAGGTATACATACATAATATGAAGACATATAGATAAATAGGTCAAATAATATGTCAAATCGATCAATAGATAAATAAATAGATAGAATTATATATATATATCTAGATGTAAATGAAAACGAAGATGGACAGACATATTGATAGATAGATTGACAGATAGATAGATATAGATAGATATGGATGGATAGATCGATAGATAGAATAGAGACAAACACAAGACAAACACCGATAAGGACATAAAGAGAGGTAGGTGGGTAGATCGAAGAGGTACAGATGTATAGACTGATGGATCGATGAATACTTGCACAAAAAAACAAACCAAATCAATGCAGCTGACACCAACATCATGAACTGCAATTTCACAGTTCCCCAGTCGACCCTGCAATAACACTGATGACATGTTCAGTTTCAATGTATCTAGTCTGAGGTCAATGCATCATGCTTCCAGCTGCAGTGTTGTCAATCCCCGTTTCTTTCTTCAACTCCACTGATTGTGCAATCTTTTGGCTCGCTGTTTCCGAGGTAGAGCTCCAGCAAAGAAACATCTTGACATCCTTGTCGAGGCCAGGTATGTGGGTAAGAGGGAATCCGGTCACAGCAAACAGTAATGACAGGAACATCAGCTACATATTTAAAGTAAAGCCTCTTGAACTATTTTGAACTGAGTTGTTGTCCGGTGCGTCAGGGTTCCATTCCCATTGTTGCTCCTTCTCCTGCAAGATTTAGCCATGGCAGAGCACACACTGCCATAATGCATGACAATTGACAACACCTATGCACAAATCAGCAGCCTGTGCAAATCTATTACAATGGCTCCTTCGTTGCTATGATTCCATCGACCAACTGGTTGTTCCCATGGTACTTGGCCAGAAGGTCCTCGGGCCAACAGCACAGAAGACAAACAAGGTCACATGAAATTGTTGGACGTGTTGTTGCAAATCTTTGACAGAATTGAAAAATCAATATAACCAAGACACTTCCCTGGACATCAGCTGATATTTCCCACGACGTTCATGCTCTTTGTTTGCACGGATGCTGGCCAGCAACACACTGTTCCCCCAGTCTTCCTTGCTTTGTATGAATTCCTCGAAGAGGAGCCATCGCTCTTGATGGCTTGCTTTGCCACCTCAAGATAAGTGGTAAGATATAACTAGACCAGTCGACTCAGGAATTATATATATTGGAATCATTATTTCGTACAGTCAAACACATCCACAGCCATCGTTTGCACAATCAAACAATAGAATAGTGCAGTCCAAGCCACCCTTTGCCTTGATCTGTGCCCAACGTGCAGCGATCTCAGGTGGGCATCGATCGCCTAAGCACATCAAAAGCCAGAGATCATTAAATATATACATGAACATATACAATATATATATATATATACAGTATATATATATTATATATAAAATATACATACATTGATATTATATTTATATTTATATATACATATATATATATATATATACATGTATTTACATTTATCATAATATATATAATAATGTGTAAATATATTTATACACCACCAATCACCAATGTTTGCCCCTGTTCTTACCAACCCTTAGTGCAGCATAGGAACTATTCACAGATCGGAAAAACCTCATGTAGCCATTCTTCACTGCATTCTTGGCAGCGTCGGCATCTTTGTCACCAGCATCTTCTCCTGCTCCTGCTTGGTTGCTTGTGTTTGGTGGTGCCTCTTGAGCTGGTGTGGTCTTTGGGGTAGGTTCTGCGGCTGGTGTGGAGCTTTGTGTTGGCTCTTCAGTTGCAGTGGCTGTTTTTGTTGCAGGACTCATTAAAGGTGGTTCCCCGATTGGAACATCTGTTGCTTTATCGGCTAGCTGGAGCCCACTTCTCCTTGCTGCATCTTCAGACATGGGAACCCACACAGGCTGCAGAACTCCAGCCAAACTCATAAGCACCCTTGTGTGGCCCGTTTGAGTTGGTGGAGCCAAGTCCACCGTAGTTTTCCTCTGCAGGCAAGCCCTCACGTCCTCAGGTTTTGGTGTGAAGGTCTTTGATGTTCCATCTTCATCCCCAGGTCCAAACATTTTGTCCATCTCTGCCTTGAACTCCTCTGAAAAGCCATCTTGACTGAACGGAGGAAGACTCTTGGGCTTCTCCGATCCACCTTCCACTGGAGGTTTGTCGCCACCAGCTTGGTGAACACCATGTGCTTTCACATCCTTTGTGTCAGCTTCCAAAGGGGCAGGACTTGGAGGGGTTGACCGAGGCCCTTCAGGGTATAGCTGCGAGTCTCCAAGCTGGTTGTCAGGGACCTCTTTGGCTGGTGTTGGGCTTGCCTCCACAACTTCCACCACAGCATGTTTTTGGGGTGTATCAGCTGGCACTGCATCAGGAGCTGAAGCCGCACGAGATGCTTCATTGGGTTCTCGAACTGCCTCAGTTGTTGCTGGTGCTGGAACTGTAGCAAGTGCTTCTTCGGTCGTCACCTTCACTTCTGCTCCACCAACCTCTGTTCCTGACTTTTCTGGTGTTGGGGTGGACGGTCGCTTGAACTTTGCCCAAAACGACTTGTATGGTTGAACATCATCACGAGGTGTGATGTCACCCTTCCCATCCTCAAGAGGCCTTTTGGTGGCCTGTGGAGATGCAGCTTCTGCACCAGGGTTGATGGAACGCTTAGCAGCTCCAGCCACAATGCGTTCCAGAAATTCCCCAAGACATTGAGGGTTCTCCGCCAGCAAGGGGTTCGATGCCAGTTGCATCAGCGCAGCTTGAACCTGAGGATGTTGTGACACAACAAACAGCAAGTGACAGCACAACAGCACAACTCAGATGAAGCATGGCCTAACATCAGCACACCAATCACCATAGCCATCCAAGCATTTGCACAACAACAGACCCTGAATGGATAGATAAGACACACACATTTCAAATATATATATATATTATATATATATATGTTGTACTATATATATATATATATTTATTGATATATGTGTATAAAATATATTTGTTATAGTATATTTATAGTAAATGAATTGTTTTTATGTTGTATACTCATAGGGATGCATGGGATGGATGGGATGAATAATATGAGGGTACCAGTGGATGGGTGGATTGATGTGTCGGTGATTGGATGTCGTACATCATATATTACAACAGAACAAAACACTTTATCAAAGTCGACACATACATAAAGCAGCTAACCACAATAATGTCAAGTGGCTTCCGGTGTGCAGGCCAGAGCAAGAGCATCATCATTGGCCATCTCTTTCGATGGCATCTTCGGAAGAGGAGGCACTGTGGGATGGTGCACCGCACTGACCTGAATGGGGTGTGGTTCAGGTCTTAGACCCAGCACAGTAGCATTCAATATATAGTTCAGTATCATCGATCAGTGTATCGTTGCATTAGCACCACAAGACAAACAAAACTGTAAATTGATCCAAGAGACAGGTGGTGCTGGCATGGATTCATTGTTGGCATTATCATCCTTCGGTTCAATCACCTCCAGCTCCATGGTCGTAGCACCTGTTCACATTGACAACATGGGAAAGGGGTTTGTTGTGAAATTCCACCAAGCAGTTTGTGTACGCATATCCTTGGATGAACCAGTTCATATCCCTATGAAGTTAGCTTGTCTGTAAAGACCCAATAGCTATTTACAAGCAATTTAATATTTAGGGACTGAGCAGTTTCTGCCCCAGCCTTCCTCCGGGGCATTCACCTGGGAATCCTCAAGAACCAGTGTGTCACCTACTTCTGTATCAGCTGGAAAAAGTTCAACAGGGGCCATCGCCGCATCAGCTGGCTTCGAAGAAGAGCTAGATGCTTCGGTTTTCGCCTCACTCCCACTCTCTGACATATGCCGCTTTGGGTCTGGGGTCACTGTAGATCCGCTCACTGAAGCTACAGCACCAGGACTTTTGTGAAGCGGCCGCTTCATAGGGATTGGGGTGGCCATCACAGCAAGAGCCCGTCTCCTTGTCCCTGCATTCAGGGCCTCTTCCATTGCCTAAGCTCAAGTGAAATAGCTGATGTTATGTTATTGCCAGGCCACTGCTTTCACAGATAATGCAAACTAGACACTGCCATCATATCAGGCTCCAAGGAGTCAGAGCTCATGGCTGGCCAATCACACCAGCTAACCAGAAAGTGGTTCAGGAATCCAAAAAGCTACCGGTTTTCACACATTTTCACGCAAATTCACGCGGATTCACGCGAGGCATTTTCACATGTGACTTTTCTTCGTGAATGTATGTTCTGTGGGCCTACATTTGGCCGAATGTATGCTCCCTGGGCCTACATTCACATGTGACTTTTTTAACTTTTCACGCAGTTTCACGCGGATTCACGCTAGCTCCAGCAGACCAGCTTGTGGGTAAAGGGGTTTTGCACAGCCCTATGCAGGCCATTTTCAGTCCCACAGCTAGTGCGGGATCCCAAATGTGCAGGTTTTGGGCTCAGACTGGGTGGACTTGCTATATGAATAACTGCAGGTGAGCAATATAATGATTTGTCAAGAATCACCGACACTCACATCCACCCACAGCAATCAATTTCAATAAAATTCAGAATTAATGCATCGAATTTCCCCTGAACATCGCATATTTTCACAAGGGCAAACCGCTTGTGGGAACAAATCTGCCTGCATTCTTCTCCTGAATCAAGAACTCCCTCAATTCATTCAATTGGGCATCCTTCCAATCGAACGGTGGAACCTGAGAGAAATATACACAACACCAATATTTGGTGGCAGCAGAGTCAGGGTATGAATATATATATATTATATATATTATATATATATATATTATATATATATATATATTATATATATAATATATATATATAATATATAGTATATTAAATATATTAATATATATATATATATAGCAAGTTTGCACAAAACCCATCATGCAACCGAGTTTCCAAGGGTGTCATAGATGCCAGATCAGCAGCTGAGCATGGCATATCTAGCTCGGGAAGTTTTCCACTGACCTGGGAACAAGAGTTGAATCATGAATCAATCAAATGGTTGTACAGTTCACAGGGGACAGCACACACACTTTGCTGATGCATGTGTTGGTTTCAACCCAGTTCCAAGTTACCTGGTCTTCCATGAAGCAGTCTGCCACAAATTCAGCAAACCCCTGGGGATATTCAGCTGATTGGCGCGAGGAAGGTCCACCACTCCTTGGATCCAGCATCACCAGTGAAGCGAATCTTTATTTTGCTTAGAATGGTTTAACTTGAGATGAATATAATTGATCCCCATGCCACATCAACAGCATTAGCAGCTACACTATATAGGCTAAGGGCCCCACACACGTTTGCAGCCATCACGGTCCATATAGTGGTTTACCATCTTGAACTCAGTGCCATCTGCATAGCATGGAAGAGCTAGTTTCTCCACGTTTGACATAGTGCCCCGAAGTCGGTGGATCCAACTCCTCACAAATTCCAAACACAAACACATGTCACTGTTGAACACATATTTGCTGGGTGCTGCTGAGGCGACAGGACATGCTTCAGTTCACTGAGTTCCCAGCGGGCTCCCCAGGAGATATGATAACTTGGGAGATCTTGCTCCATATAGCCCCATCCAACTGAGCAACATGCATTGTACTAATTTAATGAGTGCAAGATATAGGCAATGCACATTGTCACAAGATACTTTTAAAGAAATACAATATATATATATTGGATAACAAGCAAACAAACAGCACAAACAAATACCTTGCTTGCCAAGAATCAATCTCTTGAACTTTGCATTGTCACATCCCATTGCCGCAATCACATGTTGGAGATAAGGCATCAACACAAGCACTGATGTTGATGGCTGCTCTACCTGAGTCGGAAAACGTCCACACAAACATACATGCAATATGTGCTGACAACAAGGCTGGATTCCTAAGAGCATGTGTTCATAACTTAGCTTATATCTAGAGTATAAAATATTATATATTTTTCATTATTATATATATATTTTTTATTGATGGGGCATACAAACTAGCTACAAGGATAATTATGTCATTATTGTATTTGTTCATGGGGATGCTGAAGGAATTTATAAACCTGAATGGTGGTCATTTCTCCAGATTGAAACCATCACACCTATATATGATGTATACCGTGAAGGTGTTAGTTAATCCTAAAAACACCACAGGTCAGCCCCCCTCCCAGTTCTCCTATTTTTTCCCTTTCATCTATACCTGTGTGCCATTTGACTCTTCTACTGTCGACGACCCTTTGTCAGCATGCTGTGCACCCTTGAGAAGGCTGTCAAAGGTCTCGAACCCTCTGAACCACCAACTCCTTCTCCCAGCTGCTGTGCAATTACATGCCCTGGTGGCTGCACTTGTGGTGGCCGAGGCATCGCTTTCTGCTTGGGTTTGGGCTTTGGTAACACCACCCTTGGCTTCCTTGGCTCCACCTCGTTCCATTCTTCATCTTCGCATTCGACCACCTCCATATCATCTGTGCAATCATCCCATGGACCTTTTTGGCCATATCCTTGCCACTCTTCTCTGCCTTCTTCTGTCCACGTTTGATCATTCCATGCTCCTTCTTGCTGCCATGTTCCTTCTTGCTGCCATGCTCCTTCTTGCTGCCATGCTCCTTCTTGCTGCCATGCTCCTCCAACTCCAAGCCATGCTTGACACAGTGATGCCCCTGCTGGTGACACAGTATCTCCTGGTGTCCCTGGTGCTTGAGCAGCCCATGCCAAGTCCTCTTCTCCATACGATGATGCACATGCCTTCGATGTCTGTGTCTCATGGTCTTCACCTGCTTGAGCTCCATGCGATGCCCATGCCATTATCCCAGGTGCTTCTCCTCCACTTGGTGTCCACGTGGTGGTCCCAGGTCCTTGTCCTCGGTCGTCTCCTCCATCCGATTTCCATGCTGCCTTGGATTGTTTCCAGGATGCCAGTATTGATAAAAATTGCTAACAGTTTAAACAAAATACATGTTTAAACATCAAAAAGATGAAATAGCAAACAAACTCAAAAGCTAAAGATGTATTGCAACAAGAAGCACTAAATCATAATAACACAAATAAACCAAATACAACATGGAAAACAATGTGCTAATAATCATAATTATGCTACTTCTCCAGCACCAGCACCAGATGTTGGATCTTTTGCGATGCCCTCTCTGCGCCATGGTGGTCGGGAATCATCACCATCACCAAGTGTTGACCCCTCTTGCATCCCATCACTGCACCGAGGGTGTGGAGTCGTAGGTGGAGGTTTGGGCCCTGCAGTCATCACTGCTCTGGGGATAGGCACAGCCACATAGACTGCATTGCGCTGACACTGCCATCCACTCCACCTGTTGTCTTCCACGGTCGATATGATGATCTTGGGAGGAAGGGGCGGAAAGTGATTGTATTTCCCGGGCCTCCCTCGGTGGAACCGACCAGCGTCCAGGTCTGGTGGCTTCAACCCTTGTTGAATGAAGGCTATTTCCCAGGGTTGCCTCTGCACAACAGGGCCATTCCAACAATACTGGCTCCGTGAGAGCTGATTGTCCATGCCAATGTCTTCCTTCAGCTGAATGATATTCTCCAGCGGTTTGGGCAGCGGCCCTTTGTCGGCATTCTGGGTGTCCTGCTCAGCCCCACCACCAGACTCTTGTGCTGGCATGGTACCCATGTCCATCTCCTTCTCCTTCACCTCGTCGTCATGCCTCAGCTGCTTTGTAGTACTGGAACTCCTGTCTGCAGTTGCAGGCGCCGCTGCACTCTTGTCCACATCATTCTGCTTGTTCTCATCAGCATGTCTAGGCTGCTTCTCAGGCATGTCACCCTGGTTCACAGCTGGCCTCTTCTGTTGACTAATTTTCTTGTCCTCATTGTCCATATTCGTTTCATTTTGTCCAGGGCTCTGAGGTGGAGTAGGCAGACCCTGAACAGGTGGATCACTCATGTGTTCCTCCTTCATTTTTGGTTTGTCTTGTTTCACCTTCTGCTTGTCCTTCTGCTTATCCTTCTGCTCGTCCTTCTGCTTATCCTTCTGCTTCACCTTATGCTTCTCCTTCTCCTTGTCCTTGTGTTTCTGGTCTTTCTTGTCCTTGACACTTTTAGTTATGGTCGCCTTCCCCTGCTTGGATCTCTTGCTGGCACTTGCAGGTGAGTTCGAAGCGTCGGAGCTTCCCATGATGCACGCACACAGGGCTGGGTAGATATATGTATCAGTATTATATTTGTGCTTTAAACAAATGTGACCCTGATGCAAGTATGGTATTTGTAACATTGATGTCCGTGATTGATGATTGCAGGAATGTGCTGGTGATGGGTATAGTTTAATGGTGAAAAATATACTTGTGTTTGTTTTTGTGTTTGTGTCGGATCAAATGTTGTTGATGCTTTTGGATGTTGCTACGACTAAAGATGTGGTCCCTGATTAAAGCAATTCTTTGATTGATTAAACTATAACAGGAAAGGGTCTTGTGCCAAGAAGGCTATGTTGGACACTACTGTCATCTTGGCATATACTGAGATTGAAACTTTGATGCATCCACAAAACCACACCCCACAACCCTTAAGACAGGTTGCCGTCCACCACACTGCTGTAGATATACATAAAAGGATCACCAGGCTGAAGCGTGCCAAGAGGAGGTTGGAGACCTGAACCATTTGTTGGCCTCAGCATGCAGAACAGTAGCACAACACCAGCAACATATTGATGCATATTATGAAACATATAATCTATGTATATATATATATATATAATATAATTATATATATAATATGTATATATATATATATTGTATGTTTATATTTATATTAATGCATCTCCCCACAGCTGTGTGTTGAAGCCATGGGACTTGGGTTGCCCATGATGTAGATGTTCCTCATGTGGGTCCCTGTCGATATGAAGATGAACCTAGGTGCACAGGTCACAAATGAAAGCAGGATAATGATGACAGAAAAGAAACACAATCACTTGCCAGAAGCTGCACATTAAAACTATATATAGTGCAAGAAACCCTGAACATGGGTGTCCCCCA